GTAACACGGTCGCCTAGCTGGACGGGCTTCTCGTGTTCTTCGACCCGCTGAAGTCTCACGATCCCTCCCTAATGGGTGAGATTAATTATCAAAGACGACGTGTAAAAGTTACACCAGGCCGAATACTGAGGAGACGTTTTGTTTTGTTTAGCTTGGCTTGATGTAAGGAATTGGGGACCCCTTTGCCCTCTGTAATGAGGCGCCTGGCGGTTTTACGTTTCATTTTGTTATTTGATTGCTTGGGGGACACCTTCCCAAAGTCACATGGCTGCTTTACAGATGGAAATTTACTGTGGCGGTCTGCGTTGACTACCGCGTATGCCTGCAGTGACCCCTTGTGGATCTGAACATGCAGCCATGTGGTTGTAGGTCAACTTCCTTAACCATGTACATGGCCAGATGGCACCAGAATAAAGGTGTCAGGTAGAGGTTCATCAGGCAGGGGGTCTCCTGATCATACCTGCGCGTCCATCCCACGAGTCCGCTGTACATACAAAGCACCGGGCTGCAGAACGCATTTGGGGTTGGTACCCGTCCGCACAGATGTGCGTTTCTTTCCTGACCTGATGCCCTGGTTTACATGCTGACCGTTCGCGACGGCTTCAGCAAACAGTCATGTGACACGGGGAAGGAAATAAGGGATGAAGCACATGGAGCGCAGTTGGTGCAGAGGAGTGGAAAGGAAAGATGACCATTTCAGAATTTCTGCTTTGGGGAAAACGAGTGCAGCGGTCCGAAATGGCTATTGGGTGGAGGCGGGGCCATGGGGGCACTGCTGCAAGCTGATTGGTCCCAGGAGTACCCCCCTCCCCGTCACTCACTGATTAAAAACATATCATTGGCTAATGATAAGGTTGGCCCCTCTGTATGAATTGTACCCCGTCTTATGCACCCTACCTTAAAAAAATCCTATAATTGTCCCTGCTGTTAAGTCACCGAGGGCTGCAACCACATTCTTGGCTGGACGTTTAGGCTCAGATCCCGGGAGTGAGAGGAAGCGAATGTCAGACTGATATAATGTCTGGGAAGAAGCTCAGCCGAAATGAATGGATGTCCTCATCGTTTT